TCTCAGGTTGTAGCCCCTGGCCTCTGCAGGACATCCCAAGACAAAGCAAAGCTTGGGATATGCTAAGTGGGTCGAGGTGTGAGTGTAAAACAGGCCTTTGCTAAAATGTAAATAGGTTGTCTGGTCACAAGGAGATGCAAACATCCTCCCTCAACAGAAGTTACAGTATTCAAAGTGGACAGAGTCTACTTGATTCTCATCAATACAATTGTAAGATATATAAGCAAGGAAAATAAATGTATTAAGAATAACCAAAGCTCAGTAGTTCTGGACAATCATCAATACAGCTGTAATATGTATAAACAAGGCAAAAAAGTTATGAAAGGTAACTAAGGGGAACTAAAGGTATGAGAAGTAGCTTATAAAGTAACTAGAGTCTATAAGACTCAAATCTTACATAAGGAATTTTAGATTATACAATATTTTACAAGCCAGCTGGGGCAGCCACTGTTTAACCTGAGCAAATACAATGCATATGCTGTGTGTCAAGCCACATATGTGCTCTTTGCCTGGGTGAGGATAGGGTTCAGGGATGCTTTGTGTAAAGGGCAGATTAGGTTTGGAAAATGATGTTTCTTATTGTGAGGCTCTGAAGATTTATGACAGCATAGCCTGCTCTTTGGGGCCAAATAATGGGTAAACATAATTCAACTTATATAGTGAGCTTCCATAGGAATGCTCTTTTATTCTTTGGCACATTTAATTGTGTGTTATTGACTACATACACACAAAATATCTTGAATGAATGGTTGATCTGTATTTCTGTCTTGGTAATATGCTCTATTTCCTTTCAGACCTGATTGGTTAAAGCAGTAAATGTAGGTTCTTCAAACTGAAATCAGTTTGACATTCATAGTTTCTGAAAAATAGGATCCTTATTTTCTGCTTTTTCCATTTAAGATAAGATAACACTTTATTGTCATTGTAACACATACAGTGAAATTTTAGAGTGACCTCCAGTCAGTACAGCAATAAAAAAAACACAACATGCGAAATAAAACTGTATAAAAACATAAAAACTTAACTGCTATAAAAACGAAATAAACAACAGCTTCCTCTGAGCCACTGTGCTGCTGCTGTACCATACACAGTATGTAAGGATGCTCTCAGTGGAGCACCGATAGAAGGACACCAGCAGTCTCTGGGAGATGTTGTTCTTCCTGAGCACCCGTAGGAAGTCCAGTCTTTGCTGGGCCTTTTTAAGCAGTCCAGAGGTATTCACACCCCAGGTCAGATCCTCCCAGAAAGCGGAAGGCCAGCACCCTCTCCACACTCCCCACTGATATACAGTGGGAAGAAGTCAGTTTTCTTCCTCCTGAAGTCGGCAATGACCTTCTTAGTCTTTGAGGTATTAAGGAGTAGATTGTTCTCTCTGCACCACACTATCAGCCCAATCAACTTTGCTTTACCTTTGGCCCTTCAGCTAGTAGCCTGTCAGAGAGGACTCTACTGACCCCCAACCATAGAGAATTCTGGGAAAAACTGTGTGGCTGGGTGGCACCAACTGAGAAAGGAGGAGGATTTGACATCTTCTGCCCACTGGCTGCGTCTGGTAGGTTGACACACCCCTTGTTGATCTGTATTTCTGTCAGTCTCACTGACCTCCATTCACTGCCTTTCTGTCTCCCCCCAGCATCAGGAGTGGCTCTCATCCAGGCTCTCTCTACTCTGACTGGGCTGGAGGTTCAGGCACCTATGGGTTTTGCCACCAGAAGTTTTCAGCACAGTGAGTCACCCAAGCACCAAACTTTTAGCTCAACTCTAAAACTTAAGCTAAATGAGCTTTAGGTGACAGTGGTGCGGTGGGTAGAACAGTCGTTTCCCAACCAGAAGGTTGAAGGTTTGGATCTTGGTGCCTGCAGTCCACATGTCGAAGTGTTCTTGGGCAAGACACTGAAACCCCCCCGACCCCCCACCGATGCCACCAGTGGTTAGAGATATCGGTTGAGTTGGCACCGCAGATGGCTGCCATCGGTTCTGTACCAGCAACAAATTCCTTGTGTGTAACATACTTGGCCAATAAAGGTGATTATCCTTATCCTTTATGCTTAGCAATAACACCTTCAAAATAGTCTAAATGAGCAGGCATCTAATGTGATTCTTAGTCCAGTGGAATGTCTTAACTTTGTTGAAAAATTAAATTGACAATCCTTAAGATTTTCTTGATATCAAACCCTGTTTTTGATTCTACAGTATTAATTATGTGCATTATTCTTTGCACTTGCTGTTTATTGTATTTACATTCACAAATTACTTCTTTGTACCAAGAAGCATCATATTAAAGCCACAAGAAATGTTTTTTTAATCTCTTCCAGTTCTGAGTAAGTGGTCTAATGGCACTATATGTACTGGGCTGTCGGACCAGCAACCAGCAGCTCCAGCACTCCTTTATGTGTGGGAGAGTGTACTACAGGGGTGGTGCAGACAGGCCCAGTGGATGGAGGAGGCTCTGGAGGACTTGAGGGACCGCCTGGGGACGCAGTTACAGCGGGTCAGCCTGCAGGCCAGGGGCCGAGCTCTGGGTGGGTTTCACATACATGTAGAGTTAAATATTGGCACACAGCTGAACCATCAGCAGCAGATTAATCTGTTAATATATTTAAAGGTGATTTTTTGTGGAACAAAATCCACCTTGAGGAGCTTTCTGTGTCCAAAGAGCAAAGTGAGGCTTTGACAGAAGGACTCACTGCACTCCCTAAACAGGAAGAGGTGAGACTCACTGCAAAGCAAAATTATTAGCCGTGGACAGCAGCCTATCAGTCCAAGTGTCTAATCTCTGTCCTTGCCTCTTCAGACCAGAACTTTAGAGTTCCTTGCTATCTTTCTGACAAAATGGAGTGAGGAGAAGGAGGGAAGAGGAAGTGGTTTTGAGGAAAAGAACAGACACAAAGGAGAAGATGATAGCTCACAGATTTGCTCCAGACTGACTCCTGAGCTGCCACAGGTGTGTGTGTGCTTTGAATCTGTGCATTCAGGGAAGGTTTAAGGTGCACATATCATCATTACAACTCTTCTCTTTCCTTCTGTCTGTAGTTGGTGTTAGATTGGCGAGGTGCAGTTGCCAGAGAGCTGCACCACAGCGAGTGTCTTTATCTGGGAATTCTCAGTGCTGTCCTGAAGGTACGGGTTCCATTTGAGCATTAGTAGACTACAACAAGTAAAAAAAACAAAACAAATTATACATTTTTCAGAGCAACTGTCAAATCAAAAAGTGTTATGTTTGTTGCTTTAGATGCAGAGAAAGTTCATGTTGATGTCTTAGAGAAACAAAAAGACAACAATGACAAAGCCAAGGTATTCATTTAATGCATGTTGCTGCTCTGTGCTGAAGGTGTACCAGGAGCCTCTTTCTGCAGCTCTGAACTCCAACCGAGCGATCATTGGCTACACTGACATCCAGGTTATCTTCAGCCCTGTCACACAAATACTGGAGCTCCACAGGTACACACAAATATTTGTACGATATCATCTCCTTTGAGTGCCTATGTGTGGACATGACATGAGCGTTTGTTTCAGGGTGTTCCAGGTAGATTTACAGGCCAGACTGCAGCACTGGGGTGCAGAGCAGTGTATTGGAGATGTGTTTATAAAACTGTGCTCCAGTCTCAAAGTCTACACCAACTACCTTAACAATTACACCACTGCTCTCCACACCATCGACAAGGTAATGCCAAACAGGGTGTTCTTGTGCATTTGTACCACAGTAACTAAACCAGTTATAGTTTTGAACAATACTGTAAGAATGCACTTGTTTCTGTCTGTGTGATAATCACGCACAGTATGCGTACTTCACTTAAAGGTATATTGAAGATCTATATTTGAATAAATTAATCAACAACCAGGTTTAATTCAGACATGTACTCCTAGTGAGCAATAGGTCTGATGACTGGGCCAATTATTGTTTAATGGCTTATTCATTTCTGCTTATTGGTGAAAAGCTACTGTCCCTATGTTTAACACCACTCAGACACTGACTGTGACCTGAGTGTACAGTAAAAAAAAATCACCAAAAATGCACATTAACGTGAGGAGAGAGAGAGCGATTTGGTGGATGTACGTATGTAAATAGTCACCTATAGTGTGTGTGTGTGTGTCAGTGCAGGGGGATGAAACCTGCATTCAGGGCTTTCCTAAAGAGAGCAGACAGAACTCTTGCAACACACATGCTGAGGTAACCTGCATCACAGCACACATAATCGCTATCCACATTAGAAATGAAAAATATGAATATGTGACTCAACTAGTTGTAATGTTTACCCATGTATCTGTGAAGCCTGCAGGAGCTGCTGCTGTGCCCAGTGTGGAGAATACAGGAGTATGTGACTCTGCTCCAGGCTCTGTCTTTGCACACACATCCAAGTCACCCTGACCACACACACATCTCCTCTGCCCTCAACACCCTGCTATGCTACAGAGAATTCATAGAAAAGGTACAATAACTACACACTCATTACCTCATATTTGGTTTGCCACAGATACTATACATGCTACTGTGTTACTGTGTTAATTTTAAATATGGAATCTGTAGCATTTGTGGAATGAATACAGGTTTTCTTCTTTTAGTTAAAGCGAAGCTCAGAGAGAAACAAACTGTTGGAGGAAACACAGCAGATGATTCAAGGCTGCCCGGTAAAAGTACAACTTCCATTCTCTGTTTTATTTTTTCTCACACTTTCAAAACAGCATTTCAAACTTACACATGAATACAATGTGTGCTGTGTATGTTTGTAGAACCTCAGCGAAGGAAACAGGCAGCTGATAATAACTCAGGATGCTGCTTTGTTTAGGAGTCCTGATGAGGAGATTCCTGACTCTCTCAGGTAAAAGTTCAAATTATCCCTGTGTTCAGGCTGATATCATATGTTTAGTGGTTTTTATCAGTTTGTATCCAGAAATGTTCTTTCACTTAGATGTATAATAAATCAATCTTTGAATAATTCAACATTTTTGAGAATTTACCAAGTTATCTGATTACCTGTCTGTTCTTATAGTCACTAGTCAAACTGGTGTTTTGCACCAATAAACCTATTTTTTTTATTTACTTACAACTTCTACGATAGTATTGTACGACTGTAGATCATAGAAATAACTATAAGCCTATACTGTATTTACTTGCCATTATTTAAAAAATTTTTACTCCATTTTGTGCTGCAGTATTGTGCACTTGATCATCTTCTGGTAACATGTTACTGGGAAACATCACATAACCATGTGTATTGTATGTGAAATGCATTCTCTGTGTGTTTGTGTTTGCATGCATAATTAGGGCTTTTGAGCATGTGTCTGATGTGGGCCTCTTCCTGTTTAATGATGCCTTGGTGTTGACACGGCGAGATGTGCTTCACATGCCATTTACGCTGGCCCACCAGAGCACACACACTTTCCTGGCCTCTGTGGCTCTCACCAGTCTGGCTGTCAGAGAGATTACACACACACGCTGTGAGTTTTTCCTTCTGACGAATACAGTTTATCCATCCATACTGAGAATCCTGTAGAGGGTTGCGGGGTGAGCTGGGGCCAATCAATCTCAGCTGACACTGGGCAAGAGGCAGGGTACACCCTGGCGTGGTGGCCAGTCTATAACAGGGCTGACACATAAAGACACTCACATTCACAACTATGGCCAAATAACCTAACATGCATGTCTCTGGACTGTGGGAGGAGCCTGAAGAAAACCCACGCAGGCATGGGGGAACACGCAAAAGCCACAGTTGGCTACTATTCGAACCCAGAGCCTTCTTGTTGTGAGGCAGCAGTACTAAACACTGCACCCTCGTGCTACCCAAAAACACAATATGCACTATACTCAGTATTGCTGTAGATGTGGTAATTTAGTAGTGTAAATTATGTAATCTATGATCGCAGATGTGTGCCATGCCTTTGTCCTGGAGGGTCCATGTCGTTCTTGGGTCTGTGCCACAGAAAGAGGTGAGGAGAGAGATCATTTCCTGTCTGTGCTACGTTCAGCCATCAACTCTGCCCTGAGTTGACATTTGCAGGATGAGAGGAGGTTTGGACACTACTGTTGGGCCTTTTTATGGGCAAAGTGAAAAGAAAATAGTACAATAAATCTTTGGAGGCAATTATTTTACCACACCGTAATATGATGTAGAGACTTAGCAATCTGGCCTTTGTTTTATTGTGTTCTGGATGCCTCACTTTCATGCTATATTTCCAGCGGTAGTCCTTGAAGTAGTATGAGTAGTTTTATAAGTACAGTACATAATGGAATATGTAAAATATATAAAAACTAAGTAATGAGCCTGATTTGACTCTGTAAGGAGTGGAAAGTATGGATATTTGTGTTAAAATATAGAGAATAAAAGTAATCACAATGGATATTAGAAAGTGTTTAGTGTTGTGTTGGTCTTTTGTGTGTAATGTTATGAAAGTCTGCTCCCCCCCCCTCTTTAATTATCTACAGCTGATACTGCTCAAAAATACAAGTAACTCCTTCTGTATGTATTCAGCAGCCCTGTCATATCTTCAGACTTTGTGGTCTGCAGTCATTCATTGATATATGTAGTACCATAGTATCACTATGACCTTTTGTGACCTTTGGAGCTAATAGTTTTTATATATTCAGATCAGAAACATTCTCTTGTTCAAGGTATAAAAAAGGCTTTATTGATAACAATAATAAAAATAACACATGTCACATCTGAGAGATAATCACTGTGAAGAAGGGTTACATTACAACACATCAGTAATACACTTATGTGCATTAGTGTCATTTGTTCTGTCCCTAGAAATGGATAACTAGCTCTATCATTATCTGTCTCACAACAGATAGTTGTCAGAGGTGAATAAAAATTTTAAGACTACAAATAAACATGAATTTTCTTTGATTCACATAACACACTTAGTGTTTTAATGTTACTATTTAGCTTTATTTATTGTGATCACAGTGACATTTTCACATATATATATGTGACTGTTAATCATTTTTGGAACCAATTTCTATTTTTTTTTTTCCACATTTTGTACACGTTGAACATAGTATTGAGACATATGTTAGCATTTTGTAGTTTCCAGAGCACCACAGATGAGGAATAGGTAATAGTGGAACAGTCTTAAAAAGAATAAATCTGTACCAACAATATGTAGATAGTCTTTATACAAAACACTAAGCGAATCACTCATTTTTGTGTTTTTTTAATGTTTAGTTTATTATCTGAAATAACTATGTTTTAGGATGTTTTAGTGTAGGTGAAGCTGACCTGCCCCAAAAGATAAAAAAGTCTTGTGACCCAAAGATTAAAAAAAAAACACAACTGATAACACAGTCAGCGGTTCGTTAGGTTTGTGTTGTTGTTGTGTGCTACAGGTGAATGTGTGTGCTGACTGAGAATCTGTGGTGGGTGACTCCTGATCTGCAGGTTTGATGCTGCACTGTTTGTCCCCTTCTTGGAGCTGTAGCCCTTGGGTTTGGGGATTCTTGTAGGTCCTGGTTGCCGGAATGCTTCAACAGGTATCTGTGGGAAAGCAGACAAAATTGACAAAGTTTGATGAGGCCATAGTTTAGGAGACTGTGCTGTGATTTACTGAAGAAAATGAGGAAGATGTGGGGAGAGAATGATGTAGACAGGAGACGATTACAGTTTTGACCAGATAATAATGATGATGACGAACTTGCTCCACAGGCTGAATTGTTTCTGGTAATTCAGTTCAGATCTGATGCAATGCTGATAATGGCCACTAGATGATAGCAAATTGTATTTTATGGACAGTAAATGGCCACAGTTTTACTGCATGACTACTTCACATTGTCTCTTAAAGAAACTCTTTTGTTTCAGTTTTTGATGGTCATACACATGATCTCATTCAGGCAAATCACTATTTAATATTCAGATTTTAACCAATTTTTTCCAGTGAAAAGGAAGCTTCTGTGTGGTTGTCGTTAGGGCAATGCATGGCATCCTTTCACCCTATTCCTACATGGTCAGTGTTGTATAATATGCATTGTTAGCTACAATTAGTTTTTTATGTAATGTATTATTTGTGCATCATTCAGTGTTCTATAAAGTGAAATTAGATGATAAAAAGAATACTATTTGGTGACTATTTCGATAATCCAATTATACAAGACATTTTTCAATATTTTCTGACAGTTTAGAGACAAATTCTTTAATGATTAAAGAAAATAGTCTAAAGATTAATCAGTAATGAACGATCATTAATTGCTGCCCCAGAAATGTGTGGACTTTTACATTATTTACCTCCTGTACTGTATGAAAATATATTGGAAGGTTTTTTAAAACACTGTCTCGTAGATGAAGAACATTTGCTTAAATATAGTCCCAGTCTGTCTTAAATAAAAAAAAAAAAAACTGGTTGCTGCTTAGAAACCAGTGTTTGGTTGTTTTCGTAGCACAATCAAACAAGCAAAGGAAACATCATATTTATCAGACTCTTAAACAACTTCCTGCTCCACTTACTGTGCAGCAACTATTTAATCATTGTGTTTACATATACAGCAACATGCCAAGATACTGATACAACACTTTTGGATTGGTGTTGGTGCAACATCCTGTTTACATTAAGTCCAATATGATGTTTCCACAGTTATGAGTAACCTTAGCAACGGTTAGGAGCCATTTACACTCATTCGTGTCTAGTATGTTCTGTTTGCTTCCTGTAAAATTCATGAGCAGGGTCCAGTGAATTACAGAAACAGTTCATACATGAAATGATACTGAAGGAGCAAGTACTGTGTGTGTAACCACACTCGCTGTCATCTAATGCTGTAGACACATCACGATCCTAGGATGGCGCACTTTTCAGAAAGTGTTTGTTCCTTTACATTTCTTGTTTTCATAATGTATTTGTGTTTGTGCAAATTAGATGTACAACATTTATTAATTTTAAGACTCTATAATATCCCTGAGCAGACAAATGGCATTTGTCTGTCTCGGCTCCTTTTCAAGCTCATTGTTTGTCTGCTTCAGAGACAAATAAGGATAAGGATAATCACCTTTATTGGCCAAATATGTTACACACAAGGAATTTGTTTCCAGTACAGAACCGATGGCAGCCATTTGCGGCACCAACTCAACCGATGGCTCTAACCATCGGGGGCAACGGGGGGGGTACAGTGTCTTGCCCAAGGACACTTTGACATGTGGACTACAGGCACCGAGATTTGAACCTTCAACCTTCTGGTTGGCGACTACTGCTCTATGACATGCATGTGACATTCTTGATTGCTCCTGGTGGCCTCATCAAGAGCAATTAAGACAGTTTGATAAATACATTTGTATACTGTCCTATGTCCAGTTTAATATGCGGTCATTATTTCGTCCTAAGCTCTGTGCATATTGGGGGGATATAGGATGGAACACTGGACTTATGTCTTGAAGATACCAACCGACTGAGGCTCAGAAACATTTATATGAGGGAAAGACCTTGTTAGATCGCCTATCTATAGTCAAGGGAACAGCCCCTGTTAACTGTAAGTTAAATCAGTGTAATCCAATGTACATAACACTTCAAGACCCCTGTTTGACAGATAACAGCCACATGTTTGTACTATGATTGGGCAACAGTGTTGTATTTACATTACTAATAACACTGCTCCTGATGGTTCCATTGCTAGGGCCCTGACAGGGTTAAAAATCTTATCAGAGGAGATGGCTGAACTTTCAGAAATTAAAAATTACCTAGATGATTAAAATTTTGGCAAGTGGAAAAATTTTGTGGTTTCTTTGCTTACATATTTGTGGCAGCAGTTACTTTGCTGACCCTGTGTGGATGTGCTGCATCCCCTGCATTAGGCATCTTTGTTTAAAGTGTATCCCCTCTGCCATTGATAAAAGATACCCATTGACTCCTGCCTATGAGATGGTTCAATACCAATCTCCATGGGAAACTATGCCCATGATCTCACTCACTGAGCCCAGTGAGTCTGAGCTTGAAGAGGACACCCTCGACGGGGAAGAAAACCGTGACCTCCCTTCATACTATTGCTAAGGGTTAATACATACCCACATATATTCTTGCATACACGTAGGTAGTGTGGACTCATAGGCTTGTAATTGATTCTGCTTGAGTAGAATTTTCTGATAAATGTGTGATACTATTGCAATGAAGACTCAGGTTTCACATAGAAGCATACATATAGGACCACAACAATGAAGACCAGCTTACATGCCATCATTTTATGTTATTATTTCAGATTTTGCCCGTGGTACTCAGTTCTGGGCTTTCCTCGGAGGGGCTGGTAAGGGGGGGCTCTCTCCTCCTTGGATGCCTAATCTGGGGACAACAAGGACATTTGATTTAGGTTGACACGATAAAAATCGTGTCAAAGGGGGGAATTTGTTAGAAATTAATAAATCAGTTAGATAACTGTTAAACATTAATGTGTTAGTAATGCAGTTTAGTAAAATTTAAAGTCTGCTCTAGTTTGTTTTGTTTCAAGGTTAGCAGACAGAATGTTGATTCTGAAAAGTGAACCATAGTTACCTATGGCACCAATTCTTTTCTTGTATTGAGCTTGTATTAGAATATTATGTCTGAATAAATGAATGAATGCCTTAGCTACACACCATGTGACAACATAAACACATTAAAATTCTTCATTTTGTTATGACTAGGTAAAAATGCAGCTGCTCAAAGCATGTGGAGTTCTAGATAAGAGATGGAGTCTTCGGATTGGCTTCATCTGGGGATTGTTCTGTAATTTTTCTGGGTAAGAGGTTAGCCTAAACCTTATAAATGTATTAGGTTCTGTGCCGCAAGGGTCTCCACTTTTCAGCGGCCTGTGTGCGTGTCTGGAAAGGGAGCAACCCGGGTCGTGTTTGTAATTGTTATGGTAGCCCCCCTCACCAGGAGGATGAGGGAGGACTGAGGTTGGACTCAAGTTTGCAGACCCAGGTGCTAGGGGGAAAAACATGACAGTAGCAGGTAAAGAAAGAGAACCCAAAATATCAAAAGAACATAACATGGGAAAGTACGGTACTTGGATATGTATGATATGTAGTGTAGTGTAAATGACCGTAGCTCGTAGGTAGTGTGGTAGAGTCAAGCCAAAACGCACAGTGTCTGTCAGCGTAGCATTCTACCAACATGTACAGTCCACGTTACTATGTTAATGTTCCAGCAAAACTAGAGCGTCTGTCAGCGGTATAAATAAGGAGGAGAAGGTAATCATCAGGATGCACCCCAGCTGTGTGCATCGACAAACCAGTTGCTAATTACTGGAATGCAACACAGCTGAGGTGCAGAGCCCACAGGATAGAGAGAGCAGAGGAGAGAAAGACGGAGGAGAGGCAGCGGCCACCGAGCGGTCCTGACAGTAATTTTGCTTGTGGTTAAAATAAACCAGCACTAGATGAAGAAAGACGGACTCCTTCGTTATTTAGAGGTGTCCAGTTAAAGAAATGGGGTATTACAGTAGGTAACTGCATTTTGCAAGAAGTACAGACAAGATGTTTTTGTAAACTACCTTGAATAATCAATTAGTAATACAGTATTTTGGATATGTCTAATGCCAATTTGAAACAGAAAAGCATTTTGCTACAGAAATTTTGTTCAGCACTATTAATTATCATAAGAAACCAAAACTACCTCCTTGACAATATGTGTCAATGATCAGGTCTGGATTTCTATAGCTGAGTAAAACTAAAACTTCTTCATATTTCCATGAGCTTCATCACACCACTGACTTTATTCCAAGCAACACGGTGAGCACCGAAACTCTAACTGTGACTTAAGAAAATCATTTGGATATGTTTATGTGGCTTGAGGCTTTGAGAATTAACAAAAAACTGCAGTGAACTATATCCTTCAGTTTTCTTGCAGGGTATACATTTCAGAACAAGTAGGACTTAAGCTTCAGCAGAGCTAATGAGACAGAAAATCTCTACAGGCTCCATGTCATCGGAGTGTTGTTGGTTTTACATGGAAGGAGACATTAATGTGCAGCTTTGTTTTCTCATATATCAGCGGTGCAGCAGGAGCTCCACTAAGTACTTCCTCTGCCCGACTGTGCAATACCAGCGTGGCTGTTTCTACAGCAACCAAACACAAGGTTTGTTTTGGTACTTGTGCTGCGGTGGGAGAGAGGCTACTTTCACAGTGTGTGCATGCTCACACTCACACACAGTACAAAGCCTTTTGTTTAAAGAAAGCCCCCATACCACTGCTCATTGTCCTTCCCATGTTCTATTGTGTCTGTTGGTAAAGCTGAGCAAATTCCTCTACGATTATTATCATTGTGGGCTAAAATGAGGAAATCCATCTTTCTGGCATGCAGTGTGGTGATTTGACCCTGTTGGCTGCATTTGAGTCACATCAGTAGCTGATTGTTTTAAATCAGTATGTTTGGTGATTTTGATTGCATCCCCAGTAATACTGCAGTTAATCAGCAGTATCCCTTTCTTTTGCTTGTAGTGTGATCACAGCTTCATTGTCAGCCAGCAACAGCAATGTGGGCTTTTCATTGAAATACCCTTTGGCTTCCAGTGTGTCACTTGATATTTATTTTATCAACCTGGCAGGAGTACTGTCTCCAGATTTGTCTTCCTTGGCTGAAGAACATGAGCACAGTTTATGAATCAACTGAGTCTAAAGTGAGTCAAGGGGTAATTGAGGTTGCAGACAGCAGCCCCAGCTGCGTCATGCTTTCTCAAGCAGTGGTCTAATGAATAGCATCTTGTTTAGCCCCAGCGTCATTTCATCGCACTCAGACTGGTTTTGGATCCAATTTCTCCAGCTGCGCTCCTTCCCACTCATTTAGTTTTTTGCTTGATTTAATCATTTCCTCGCTGTCACACTGGTGTGTGTGTGTGCTGTTTGGGGGGGTTTGGCCATTTTCCTGACACAGTTGTCTTGCTGCACCTAAATGACACTGAGGATTTGATGCTGTTTTACAGTATTAGGCTTGTCAGGTCTCATTTCTGTCCACCTGTCTACTTATTGTCCATTAAAGAGTTTGAATCCAAATCTTACATTTTTGAAAATGTAATACACAAAAAGTCACTAGGCATGAGGAGTAAAGAAGAGGATAGTCGGAGTTTGACCCAGGTTGGTAAGAAGAGGAATGGATTATCCAAAACCCAGCTTTTTCTGGGAGTACTAGTGACATTTTTTGATCACGTCCTATGACATTTAACCTCAAATGTGGCTGCTTGTCCACCAGCATGGTGAACTGAACCATGTGACAAATTCATGACAAGTTTGGTGTCAATATTCTGAAGCATTCTAGATGAATATGAGGCAAAGAAAACCAGCTCTTGTTGATTTACCATGCGTGCAAGAATTAGGCCTGCTGCCAGTGTCTGTAAACAAGCACACACAATCTGTCTACTTGCTCTGTATTCACTGTGTGTGCTTGTGTATCAAAACAAGAAATGCATATGATGTAACAATAGTACTAGACAGTACATTTTCAGACCTCTCAGTTACTTCAGGGTGTCATAGCTAATATGGACATTAGACATATTTACTTTAGTTCACATAAAAATAAACATTAAAAAAAATCTTCTTAAGCTGTTCTTTGAACTGAGACACAATATTAATGAGATCCTCTAAACTGTATCCTCTCTCCTCCTCTCCTACATCCCTTTTGTCATGGTCTCCGTCCACTTATCATCTAGTTCTGACCTTCTGTGTAGATCCATTTTAAAGGGATCCACATTTGTAGTAAAGTCTCCACTGTGGTCACTTATAACCACATGTAGAAGAATGCGTATACAGTATGTTCATATGTTGTACTTCATGGGAGAAAGCAAAATAAAACAGACATTTTGGTTTGCTGCTCAGTGAATAGCAGACTCAGTGACTTTCTGTTAAAGGACCACTGAGGCTACACCATCAACAAATTAGTGTTTCTGAGGTCTAAATGTTAGATCAGATTTCTAAAGGGACTTTTTGTTATTTACAGTGTTTTTCTGGGGGTGCATTAGTCAGTGGTTGCACTTAAGGCGTTGGACAATAAAGGGCAGTCGTTTTGATTTCAAACACTGAAAGCATGTTCTTTGTCATACTAGGTTGAACCCTGTGTGTCTTGCTCAAGAACACCTAAACATGGTGAATGAACGTCAGGGTAAAATGAAAGTATGGCTTTTCCAGCCCATTGCCTCTGAGTAACTAGAATGACAGAATGACAGCAACTATTTTTAGTCATCAACAATCCTGGACATGTTTCAGTAATATAGTACTCTGGAGAACAGTGGCTGTAAGTTTACAAAATCATAAAGACTTGCCACCAACAGAAGCACCACTCTTAGGTTTTATAGGTTTTAAGCAGAGTTTCCATTGTATAATTTGAGAAGAAGCCCTGTTCACATCACACTGGCTTTCATTCTCGGTCACTGGGTTTTTGTGCTCCGTGAAGAAACTATGACATCACCCTATGATTTTAACTCAAGGAAGTAAACACATGAGAACCCCGGAGGGTTATTTTGTCTTGCAATCTATGAAGGAATGAGCAGAAAGGTTTCTTCAGGCCACTTTTCCAAACACTAGGTATCATTTAATACTGTCTATAAAGCGCTGACAGCCTTTATGTTAGAAAGAGAATTATAAAGTTTTAACAATCACATTGGTCTGAAATCTGTTGAATAGTCACTGTGCATGCACCAAACAAATCAAACAACCAATTTCCATCTAATTGCATTTTCCTCAAAATATTTTTTTAATTTTACACATTCAAAACATGCTAAATGAAACTGGCAAGCATGGATGACAAACTAAAACATAACACTTCTTTTTGCACATTTTAATTCTTAGAAAATCAAACAACTTAATTATAATGCAGTATGTGTAATATGAAGTACTGTATAAAAACTGGTATGATACATCAGTGTGAATAGTCTGAGTACATGGCAAATGTGCCACTGAGTACAATACAGTAAGTGCACATAAGTTAAAACCTGGTGTTATGTTGAATGAAATCAGATTTTCTAGTGCTTTCAGATGGTATTGTTGTCTCATGCAGGCAAAAAAAATAGTTTGAACTCAATCACACAGAACTGAGCTAACCAATCAAAATAAAAAGGAAAACACTGAAACCCCAGTAGCAATCCAAACTCACAGCAAAATGCGTAATAACTACATTGGTCCCGCAACACAAAATGTGCTACTCTTACAGTACCACCTCGAAAATTGTGATATTACTGTTTTTATCGATCAAAAATTGAAACGGAAAGTAAAAAAAATGTAGCTACGCCGGATGGTTAAATTTAAAATGAAGTGGTTAAGGTTAGGAAAAGGCCCTGGGGTCAGTTAAAACACTTAAAGCACATTGTCAGACTGGTTCTCTACATGAAACATTAGTTTGACCCAGCCACCACCTTCTAGTGTTTTAACATTATAAAGTTCCAAACCATTTGCCTTCAATGGACACTTCATGTTACCTTCCATCTCCATAGCTGGTGGCAGTAATGTACCATTTCCTTATTTGACAACCACGATAAAACACCAAGAAGAAGACCACAAAGAAGGACACTTGGTTGCAATGCAACAAATGTTGCCACTTCACAATTTTACAGCCGTTACTGTGACACTACTACGTTTTACACTGTGGACCAATGTAGCTATTATATATTTTGCTGTGAGACCAGGCTGCCAGTTGAAGCACACAAATCAAGTAAAACAGACATAAATGTATCAGGGTGTACTGTTAAGGTACAACAGTCTAAGGTTGTGTTGGATTTTATGGGCAGCATTTGGTAACAAAGGAAGGGATAAGGGTTTTTGGGGTTTATCAGGTCAGTTGTAGGCATTACTTACTGTAATTTGAGATGACCTTTGCATTGGGGTAGTGGTGGGCTTAATCATGATGCTACTTGTGATTTTGCTGCTGCCTTTAGCAGTAGGTGAACTGCAGTTTGCAAGCACCTGAGTCCTTTGCTCCTGGAGTCCAGGCGTGTGGCATGGACTCAGAGTTTGTGATGGGGTGCTGATGCTTTGAATGAAGGGGCTCCCTAAGTGAATGTGGATTTTGTTGTCCTCTGTGGTGATGATGTTTGGCCCTGAGCTGCTAGGCCTCTGGACCTGCCAGTTGTTCTGCCTTTCAGGTGTGACGCGGAAGATGGCGTGTCCTCCAACGACCTCTAGTGGTTCCGTGGTGAGGGAGCGGTCAGGGGTGCCTGTTGTGACTGACACAATTTGAATTGGTGACATGGCTCTGTCCGGTGTTACAGAGCCACAGGAGTCCGGGGTCATTGCTCTGGCGTATGCAGCCATAGTGAAAGGTGACAGGGCCCTATCTGGCGAACAGAGCTCGTCGAACAGAGGGGAACCTTTAGATTTAGTTGTTGGGGAAATGGATTTTGCAGTAGGAGATATGGAAGCATTCTGGATAATGGTAATTCTCTGTTTGGGTGGACCTCCACTTGTGGGTATGACGGCAGTACTGGTGAAGGACTGGGTGCTTTCTGTGGTTGGGCTGGTGATCTCCAGCGTTGCTGTGTTGTGTCCATGGTCAGGAGTCACTTTAATGTGCAAAGGCTGCCCAGGACTTTGAGTCAACACAACATCTCCGGGCTGGACATGGTTGTCATTCTGTCGTGGCTGCACTTTGCCATTCACCTGATGGGGGGTGTCTTTGTTTTTAAGGAACGGGACTCTTGCTCTTTTCATGTTGTTGTTTAGATTATTTACATTGTTTATAAGGGAGGGGCTACATTTGGTGAGCTGCGGCTTGTTGCTGTAATTAGCATTATCCTCAGGTTCGCTCTCATCATACAGCTTCCCGTTCACCACAGCTCGTTCCAGTGATGCCATTGTCTTGCTGGTGGGGGACATGAGGTCAAGGGGCTCTGTCTGGACTTCCTTGGTGGAAACATGCAGGTCTGAAAAGCGTCTTCCATTCATGCCAGGGCGAAGACTTTTGCTAAAGCGTCTGTATCTTTCAAGTTCCCGTGTAAGTGTCTCCATTTCTCTGGCCAACTCTTTGTTTCTGACCTCCTGCTGGGTCAGCTTCCTTTGCAGTGTAGAGTGGTCAGATTTCATTCGGCAAATAGACTCCTCTGTTCCCATGTATTCATGAATTTTCTCTTTCAGAGCTGCTACCTCTCTTGTCAAATGACTAGACTTTGCCTCCTCCTCCTTCAAGCGTTTATAAAGAACATGTTCTTGGTTGCACTCTTTCTTTTCAGCCAGTTGGTACTTTGAAAGTTCTTTTCTTGATATTTCCAGCTCCTGCATCAGGGCTTTAGCTTTCTCTTGTTCACTGGTGAATCTTTTCTCCAGGGATTCAAACTCCTCTGCTTTTAATGAATCATTTTCTACCACCTTCATGTCCTTTAATTTGCGTCTGAGATGTTCAACCTCCTGTGTCAAATCCTTTACTTTATTATCTTCTTGCTGGAAGCGGTTAGCAATAGGTGTTTTGATTTGCTCCTCTTTAGCTTTGTTTCGCAGAAATTCTCTTTCTATTGTCTCTAGTGACTGTAGCCTTTTCTTCATCATATTGATTTTGGACTCTAAATCATTGCTCTTTTCCTCCGCAGCCCTTAGCTTGGCCTTCAAGTCATCCCTTTCCTTTGTGGCGCTGCACATTTTCTCCTCCAGCTCAGCCTTTGACCTCAGTGCTTTCTTGCTCTCCTCAATGAGCTTCTCTGTGACGGATGTAACTTTGTCCTGTTCAGCCTGAAGCTTCCCAGTGCTGTTCTGGATCTTGTTCTCCATTTGCTTTAGTTTCTCTGCCATTGCCTTCCTCTCATCCACCAGCATGACTGTCAGAGTCTTTAACTTGGTTAGATCTTCCTTCAGTGTCAGCTCTGTCTTTCCCAGTTGGCTTTCAGCAGCCTCTAATTCTTTGACCCTAACTTTCAAGGCTTCAAGCTCACTGGACAGAACTTTGGACACTGCCCTCTCTTTCTCCAGGTTACTTTTGAGTGAGCTGCATTCCTGTTTGCTCTTGCTGAATGCATCCTCTAATTTTTCCAAGTCCATAATTCTGTAATTCAGTTTATCGACTTCAACCTTGAGGCTTTGGCTTTGATTGGCCTCTTTCTCCAGTTTCTTGTTGAGGTCCTTGCAGTGGTCCTCCATTCTGATCAACTCTTCATCCTTTCCCTCCATTTCAAGTACCCTTTTCTGTAACTCTTCCAGCTCAGACATGAGAGTAGAGTTTCCACACTCACCACGGCTAATTTTGTCCCTCAGCTCCTGCAGTTCCTCTTCAGCTCTGTGCAGGGTTTTGTTGGTCTCCTCCAGCTCATCAAGTTGCCTGCTTAGAGCTGACAGTTTCTGGCGCAGCTGCCTGTTTTGGGCATCCTCGCTGGTCAGTTTGGCAGTCATGGCCTCTTGTTCCTGGTGGTGTTGCCTGGCTTGGTCACGCAGCTCAGTCTCCAAGCGAATGACTTTTTGCTCCTCTTCCTGCAGACGGGCATTAGCTGAGCTGAGCTCCTCCTGGGCTTGTGAAGCACTGGCGCTCAGTTCTTGGACCTTAGTTGTTTGTTGATTCAGCTGTTCAGTGAGACGCTGCTGTTCATCCACAACCATTAATGCAAATGACTTTAACTTTGTCAGCTCCTCCTTGAGACTTGTGACTTTTTTGTTGTTCTCTTCGTCCTTTCGCTCTTGGTAGGCCTTTTCTTGATCAATTAACAGCTTCAACCTGTAAAAAATAAAAACAAGGTAAACATTATCATCATTCAGTCCAATTCAAAAGGTTATGCACACGTGGATAGTGCAAGAACATTCAGGACCAAAAAGGCAAGATTTTCAGTATTGCAACATTATTTTCTTATTGCAGTAGTTTTTTCTTTATTTATGCTTATTAACATTTTCAAATTAACTTTCCAGTTAATTTCAAGGCTTGGTTTTGTCTGTTCTTAAGTTATATATGAAAGGTACTTTAAAGGTATGAAAGGTACTTTACACCCACATTGTCATTCCTTATTGGGCCCACTTCCTCAAGCAGTGACAAATCATAACCACTGTTATTTTCCCTGCATTTCTGTCATGGAAAATGTAATACATTGTTTAAAAAAGCATTACTTTAACACTCTCAGGTTGGTAGTGTGAAATACAGTTACAACCTTTGGTCCTTTGTTTCCATTTGCTCTGCTATTTACTGCTGTAAATAGTGGGCCTTGAGTTTAACAATCTGTTCATTTCAAAAAGTTTCCATAGTCTTCAAGGGTGTAGCATAAGACCTGTTAAGTCCTCTGGGAAGTTAGGGGAAATGACTGACAAACAGCCAAATGTTTACTTCTGAAAATAACTTGTTACCTTTGTGTGTGTGTGTGTGTTTTATGCTAATCTACTGGAGTTGCTTCTTCTCTTTATCTCCCACCAAAGATTTACCTGTCAAACTATGTATTCATGTGGTTAGTGTGCTTATGAAGTGTCAAATGACCGCTTGTCCTAGAGAGGAAATGATCGCATCATCACACAAGAGAAGGCCAAAGACAGATCAAGAGCAAGTCCTTGTGCACATATGACACACAAGGTTTATTATCAAGTCTTGAAAAAAATTGTCTATTTTTGACTGGTGTAAGCAACATATACTGTATCTTCCACTGAGTAGCACTGGTGAACATAAAAACATAAGCCACTGGCAGCCCAGTAGAAACCAGTTTGACAGTGTAGCATCTTTCCACAACTAACTGTATCTTATTTTTCTTTATGCAAAACCCAGATGGGGTAGATAGTATTCAAAGGATGTGAAGGTACATTGCATGTGTGCCACTGGAAGTGCATACTGTATATACATCACCAGGTCAAAGAGCCTACAGCTGCAGGGGATGGGATGTTGTGATGGTTGTGTGCGCAGCTACCAGACATTTCCACACAGATGCCCCACTGGCGTGGAACAATCTTTTAATTAAGGGGTTCCTCTGCTTCCAGCCCCTTCTCCCCCATTACCAAAACCACTACCACCTACTTGTTTTTTTCTTATGCATTTAAAGGAATTCCCCCTGCTTCAAAGGCAGTTGCAGTCCCAGAGAGTTTATACAAAACACCCCCACCCCCTGACACACACAGACAAACACACACACTCTCTCGGATCCCAAATTCTACATATACACTTGTGTTGTGGGCCATGGTGTAAGGTGGTAGGGTGGGTCGCTTTTCTGTGACTGGCTGTTAGATTAGAGTGTTGGTCAAGGAAATATGCCCGCCTTCTCCAGAAACATACATGTTCTAAAAATGACGTTTTCTTTGGGGAGACATTGTACAGTATGTACAAACTCTAAGCTGCTAAGTGAAACTCTTATTAAACAAGCAGACATCTCTCCTGCACACTAGCCTGTTGCCTCTAATCACTGTTTACTCAATCTCTTATCTCAGTCCCCGCTCTTTTTCTAGTGATGTCATCGGCCAAAATAGTAGGAGAAAAGTACTTTGTTCCCTAGTGGGACTGGAAACTTTGACTATCACAGTTTTAAAATACTTCTATGCCCTCAACTGGTTATTAATTGTATAAATTGCATGAAGTGCACTTTATATTAATAATGAGAAGTCCTTTGAGAGGAAACTGCATGGATCATATTGAAAACACACCGCTCACTTAATCACTTTTAGCTCTTCATGGAACTACTTTTCTCTGCTGCCGATGTACTTTGTGGTACATAAGGAATTGTTGGTCCAGATCATTCGTTACTGAACTTTTTCTTGTCAAGGACACACACATAGATCCACATCTGAGACCATTTTTGTTGTTAGATATAATTAGGTCCAGACTTGCAAGTGTGCATGTTATATAGCTAGAGGGCCATAAAGGGAGTGACCTGTGGTGAAAAAGTATCATCCTGCAGCTGACCCTTAACAAATGGTGCAGGACAACTACACTTTAACAACCATCTTTGGCCATCTAATATAAGTCACTAGACCTACTGGCCATATGGGTTCAGGCCAGGGAACGCATAAATAACACAGCTGATCTATTTAGCATTTGTACACATTTCCTTTCCCATAACGTTTTATGTTGTTTTACATCTTATAAGAACATACATTTTGAGTTATAAACTGTGAAGTGCTGCTTAGATTAAAAGGCTATTGACAGCGGCTATCAACACTACAAGGCACCTTACCGCCCACTCTTTAGCCTGGTACAACCTTTGCAACAGGCACCAGTTTCACCCCAAAACAGATGCGTGACCATCACCACGAGCCATTAATGTGCCATGGAAAAATATATTTTGCCTTTCCCTCATATTTAAGCTAATATAAAAGCCATTAAATATGAAAAGGAAACATTCAGTTGGGAGCCTACTAGTGACTCGAATACCAGCAGCTTTACAGAGGGCTTCCCTCTCTTTACGTGACTCTTGAAGCTGGAAAATGTGGCTCACTCGCTGCTTAAAGCTGTGCTACACATTCCATATGTCAGGGCTGCTGTGGCATTTCCTAACCACAGGTGATTAGATCATGCATTTATAGACTGATATATCCTGTATATACACACATGACCACCTCCACTCTAACAGAGACTTGTGGATGTTGGGCCCAATGCCTCTGGACTCTGATTGATGCCGTTCATGGACTATATTTAAAGTCCACACAGAGTCGTTGATATGCCCCCAGAGCGCAGTCAACATGTGTAAAATATTTAGCACTGATATTTATGAACTTCCTGGTAATGTTAATAGGGGTGCTACCAACAGAGACCTACATTTCTTTTTGTGTATATTGCATATGAATAGATTTGATGATACATTATTTCCAAAATCTTGAATATAGATTATGGAAATCTTTTATTCACTTTTTTAATATGCAGGTAAAACACGGCTGCTTTTATATGCAGTGGAGTCCTTAAGATGACAGCAAATTTTAGTGGTATAATTAGATTAATAGTGTAGTAAATGTCTACAAATAATAATTATATAAGAACAAGAGTCACTAGTCCATATTATTTTCATATGGAAATGAGGATTTTCACATTGAATTCCACAACCAATTTAACAGGAAAGTCCGCAACTCATCGGAGAAATACACTTGACAGCCTAAAACACCAAATATCCCTTTGGCTCCATACATAAAAGTTAATGGAATGTAGATACAGTATATATTCACACTACAACATTAAGGCAGCTTGTGTGTGTAATGTAATCTGTGCTGCTGCATGTGGAATGTATTAATTCTTCTGCTGTGCTAAGTAGCTTATTAATTTTGATGTCTTGCATATATGAAACTAAGTTAATATTCCTTTAATTCTTATAATTATGTTGCCTTGATGAAATCCTGAACATCAGATGCACATGATTAGTAATGTGGCATGCTGGACATAACTTTCCTACAAGACTGAGATGTCACCCTATTCTCAGTCTAAGTAGGTAATACATTTGGTGAAGTTTGCAGTAGCAGGCCACTGTGTATGCCTCTTCAGCTTGTTTGAACTGTTTCTTAATTATTTTTTAGGAATAAATGTATTTAAATGTAAAAAAACTAATACATTTTTAATACTACACTATTATATAATTTTATATATTTTCAGTAGGATTTAAATTTTGTTGAATACCTTTTTGATAGTTTGACTTTTACTGACTTGGTTTTATTAACTTCTTAGACTAAATGTTTCAGAAGTCATTTAAAATGTACAAAAATAGCAACTCTGAACCCCCCTGAAATGTACAATACACCATGAAACTTAGTATTAAAAACTTGCTATAACTTAGTGTTAAAGTACACAAGCATGAGATGATGCTACTCAAAGCATCTGTACATCTCCGAACCAATCGCGGGATTGACAGCTCTTCTAAAAACTGTAAGATTTGTAGTAATATTCAGTGTGCCTACCTGTGACAAAGGCTCTCCCTGTTTCACTGCCATAAGCTCCTTATCTTTCCGTAGAACACCCGACCCTCAACTCCTGCTCTGTGTGCACGTCTCACTGTCTATAAGTAGCAGTATGTGGGACATTCCTGCAGTCAGACCAACCAATAAGGGATGTGCTCCCTGACTGGGGCCCATTACATCATCAAAATGCCCTTATATGGAGCTTTGCATTGCAGAGGCCCACAAGAAGGGGGTGTGCTTGCTCATATGTATAAGTGTGTGGTGTGTTCAGGTCTGAGTGTTTGAACAAGTTTTGTGAAGTAACTGTGTAACTTAAAGGACGTGGCAGAGAAGACAGAAAGGTTTCTGTTGACGTATGTGATGTGTGAAATGTCTGCCTGCTCTGTCACTGCTCCAGAGGCAGGGCAGCAGGTGAAGAAAGATGAAGAGTTATAGTGTTTTCTTTGAGCTCTTGGCAACTTACAGTAAGTCATTTATACAGCCAAGGAAGGAGTAGAAGAAAGCAAAGTTAATAACAAAGAAATTCTCAGATGAGAATTTGTCATTCAGCCCACTGCTAAAGAACAAGACAAGACATGCAACACATAGCTCTGACATGTGTATTTACAAGCCACACGTGACTGATCTCTTGACTTTCTGACAGTTTCACTGAAATAGTTTGTTATATGTTATAATACTGTTGCTGATTGAAATCATGGAGTGCTACTTGCTGCTACTTAGCTTGTAGCAGTGCCCTCTTACTCTCAACAGGGAATGCCAAGGTAACTCCAGGTAAGACATATTTCTCTGAACAGCTCTATATTGTTTTATAAGTATTGTTTTAAATGACACAACAGTGTTGGTACAATAGATGGTTTAGTTGGCAGGAATTCA